ACAATATTAATCTAGTACCTAAGCCCTTTAGCAACCTCAAAAAAATGGGCAACATTCTCTTCGGGCGTGCCCACGACAATCCCATGGCCGAGGTTCAAGATATGTCTACCTTTACCTGCTTTCCTCACAGTATCCTTAATCCTCTGGGTAATAAACTCCTTGGACCCAAAGAGGACGCCTGGGTCCACATTCCCTTGCACTGCCACATCTGGGCCAAGCCTCTTGCGGCCCTCGGCCATGTCCACTGTCCAGTCCAGGCTGACCACGTCAACACCCGTCAGTGGAAGCCTCTCAATCAGTCCGCCTGATCCGCTCGCATACAGTATGAGCGGGAGACTAGGGTGGGTCTGCTTTACCGTGTCAACAATTTGTTTCAAATAGGGAAGGCTGAACTCCTCGAAATCCACCGGGCTCAGCTCAGTGGCCCACGAGTCGAAGATCTGGACAGCCTGGGCTCCCTTGTCAGCCTGGTACTTTATGTATCGGGCCATGGAGGTCGCAAATCTTTGGAGTAGGGCGTGAAGGACCTGAAATTACGGTTTTAGGGAAAATCGAGTTATCGTTAAGCGGAGAAAAATAGGTAAGTATGGCGGTTCGTGGTGTTTCCTGATATCTACGAGCACTTCGTACAATTAAGAGGGTGTTTGTGTTTTGTGGTAATCTCTGCTTTTATAAGAAGTGGATTACCCTTATGTAAGCTAAAAGTGGTTAGAAAACAATTGGTAGCAAGTATTTACGAAAGTGATTGATTCTTTGTAAAGCAACAAGGAACCACTCCAGAAGATTCTTGATAAAGACGAGTAGCCAAAATGCTGAAGATCATGTGGGTTGATATTGAAGCACTTCAATAGACTGACTTACTTGATCAAGAATAACTCCCAACACAGTATGATCTGTTCACATAAGTACCAACTGAAACTCAATTCTGTAACTTACCTTGGGCTCTGAGAATGCTAGTCTCTTTATTTTCGAAAAGTGCTTTGAGGAACCTCCTTCAACCACATAAGAAGCCAGGGTAAAAGGAGCTCCAACAAAACCAAGTAATGCTGCTTCATTGTTTACCTGAGGCGCACAAAAAGAGTCAATGAGACAGGGAACCCCGAAATTTGTCCAACATTGTAATCCAGTGAGGTGGAAAAGACAAAACAATAAAAATTATTTCCAGTTTTGCCTCATCGGATAATTTTTTTTTCCATCGGACTACGATTGGGTACAAAATTTTTTCCAGAATCATTATTCATCTAAAGTAGAGGGCGAGGGGGTTAGCTAGACAGCAGGTTCGCAGAGATATTTCAGGTAAATAGGCGCAAGTAGCGACCTCTCTTAAGCAGTTAGCACTTTTTTCTCCTCAATCTTATCAACAGAATTAAATAATAAACATCAATCATTACTACACCTTTTTCGACAAAATTTATCCACTCACATATTTCTAACAACAATTTATTTGTTTCCAATTCAAAATTCAAAAGCAAAACTTGTTGGAATTGATCAAACTTAATTTGATCAGAGAAGATATTAAACTGCAGAACATCTAACAGTACGTTCTAAGGATTCTTTGGGGTGGATCGGAAGCGGCATTTCGAAAAAAGAAAAGGCCATCCACTCACATATTTCTAACAACCATTTATTTACATTCGTTATATTACTATTTTTCTATCATATCCACTTTAATCATTGCTCTTTCTCATATTCATTCTCAAATTCAAAAATATTTCATTTTTTCACCCAAAAAAAATCTACACTTTAATTTACTTTTTGTATTCAAATATTTTTTTCTAAAATAATATAAATCCAATTGTAGCGAAGTAAATTGTAATTTTTCTCCAATAGCATTTGAGAATCCGGTGCAGTTTTTTCACTGAGCTTGTACTTTTGAAATCCCAAATTCAATGGTTAATAGTGGCGATTTGACATATCAACTTTGGCCCATATCACCAAAATACTAATTTCTTGTAACGTGCTCGTTCATCCTAGTTAGGGCGAAATTCCAACTCCAGGTCACATAAAATCTTGGTTAACGTAAAACTAAATACACAAATTCCCCAAGCCTGTCGAACCATATAAAAGTGGCTAGTTAGAGGACTTACATCTTTAAGTAGACAAGTTACCATACCAAAAAAAATAATACATTTTCCCTGATTTTGCAAACTGTTGTCCATTGCAAATGGATCTGGAAGAGTCATTGTTGACAATTCTCCTGGCATAGTGCTAATAATGGACTAGATCAAAATGGCTCAATTAAATTCTAGTGCTTCTTCTACTATTAGTGAAGTTTCTAGAAAAAAAAAAATATATCAAACGGCGCAATGCACCTTGAGTCGCTACAGAAACAGTCTCCTTGTATAATTACAAGGGTAAGGTCTGCGTACAACTGACCCCCCAGACCCCAACCTGTTGGGAATATACTGGGTATGTTGTTGTTGTTGTTGTTGTTGTTGTTGTTGTTGCCTGATTTTGCAAACTAAACATTTTTACTTTATCATCTAAGAGATCATAAGCCATCCTAACTCCTCTAGACAATGCAAAACCTTGTTTTAGACAAGCACCAGTGCTAATTCTTGCAAATGCCATGGGGTTAAAAACGTTATTTTCCACTCATGCATTTGTGAAAAGGATTAATAAACATTTTCCTTTAGTGAGAGTTGTAACGACTCATCAACCAGGGGCTGCAAGCAACCAAGATAAGTCATACCTCTTTGCGCAAGATTGTAAGAGCTTCCCCAACATATGGTACTGACTCATCGGGAGCGAATTCTCTAACTTTCTCAACATCGCCAGCTGTCCTTATCGGGTCAAATATGACAGGACCCTTACCTTTGACAATGTCAAAAGGTATGTTCATGCCAGACAGAGGGGTCAGAATATCAGAGAACAATATGACCTGAAAGCAAAAAACAATTGCTAGGATTAGTAACAAGATGGTTAAAATTGGATTAAGCACCACATATTATGAAAAAACTAGCTCATTCTAAAATAGGTTTGTCTAATGTATCTTACGCCATCCGGTTTAAACACTTCCCAAGGCTGAAGAGAAATTTCCACCACAAGATCAACATTTTCTGATCTTTCACGGAAAGATGGGTACTTCTCGCAGAGGATTTGATAACTCTATCAAAATCAGTTAATAAACAGAAAGTTCAGTACACAAAATTAAACAACAATCAAACATGAATATGCATGACATGAACTAACGTAATGTTTACAAGTTGAGTTGAACAAAGTGTTCTTATATTCAGTACTTCATGAATATTCAAATTTAACGGAAACATTTGACACCAAAAACCAGCTAGCAACTTATTGGCGATGACTGAATGTAGCCAAAAACAACAAATAGTTAAATATGTCCTATAAAACCTGCCTTCATGTACCTCCCTGCTTGTCTCATAAGCCAAACTGGGGGTCTCTCAACTTCTTTCCCTCGGGCGGCATTGAGCAGCAATGGCTCAGTAGCATTTACAGTTTTAGGCTCGGCAACAGCTCCTGAAGCACAATTAGGAAAAATAAAACAAACAAACTTTTGCATAAGGCAAGCTCTCTTTTAAGCATCAAACTAATAAGAAAATAATGGAATTGTGAACAAAATTTCTAATGATCCCCAAATCTAGAATAGCAAGTAAATCCTCATCAGCAAGCATTCAACTTATCAATAGTCAAAAGAATGGAAATCGTGAACAGAATTTATTTGAGCTCCGCTTAGACTGAATGACCTTGCTCAAAAGAGTTGGAGTAAGAGAATAAAAAGTAAATTGCTGCAGATCAATGGATAACATGACTTGTGAACACAACCACAATAATAAA